CCCCCATCGGAGGGCCTTCCAGTAGGTCCCCACGGCCACTGTTGGTCGCGAGCTTCTTGGCTGTTGTCGGAGCTTCCCCCCCAATCGGGGCTGTCATCACTGGCTCGATCTTTTCTCACATGCTTGGCAGCTACATGGCTTCCATCCAGCTTTCTCGCATGCTCCCCCATTCCACTCACTGCTGGCTCGTTCAAGTCCTCGGTCTTTTCCTCACTCTTCACCGCGGGGCTGCACTCTTCGTTTCTTGGCTTTGCTCCCCTTGGCTGTGGTAGAGGATCGCGTTGTGGTAGTGCACCTCCCCTCCTTGCTGGCGCAGAGTCGCTTGCGAATCTTCTTGACTCTTTTCAGGAGGGACTCCGCTTGCTCGGGAAATCGGCAAACATATGCACGTGTCTCATCGGCCTGTAGTGGCAGGTATTTATCCACCATGCGGACCAGCTTGTCAGCTATGTCCCCCACCTTGTTTCGGTCGAGGTGTCGCCGCGGGAACTTGCTATATGCTTGTGCTTGCGTCTTGCTGAGAACTTCCCCCGTCGAGGTGTCTTTCCATCCCCCCCGGATTCGGGCGATGGGTCCGTTGATCCATACGTCGTCCGGTGTGGGATCATAGAGGAGCATAAGCCCCCTTCTCGTCTTGAAACCGGTCATCTCAGACAGTGGGCGGACCGAGTTTGCCCGACTGCTTGTAGTTGTCTCCCCCGGCTGTTGTGTGCGGCTGCGTGACGTAACCTCCCCCGGCTGCTTCTTTGCCCTTGCAATGGGCACATTGCCTCTCGAGGTCTGTCTGTCATGGACCTTTCTGAATCCCACGGTGCATGTGCCATCACTGTACCTGCAGAGTCTGCACCGTGCCTCCCCGCCATCCCCCTCCGCATGGGCACTCATCACGATGTCGCCCGGCCGGAGTATCACGGACTCTGAGGTCTGGTTCTCCCCCGCCCAACGGCTAGGTTCGGTAGGCACGGCTTGGTGGCGTAGTCCTGGGTGTTCTCGGTGCAGAAGGTCGTGACTTCCCCCCCAGGAAAGTACTCGAAGAAGCTCTTGCAGTGCCACGTCCCCCCTCAAGGTTGAAGAATCACGAACGTGCCAGTCACCTTTATTGCTCGGACGTAAGGACCTGTTCGCGGGCCACTGTAATCCACACGGCAACGGACGATGGACTCAAGCCAACCTCCGCTCAAGGGAACGTCCACCCAAGGGAAGTACTGGGGACAGCCAGTACCCCCCAAGGGCCGTCCCTGAGCGCCCCCCGAGAGGAGCGGCAGGCAGACTTGAGCCAAAATGGCTACGGCTCTCTCTCTCTCTCTCTCTCTCTCTCTCTCTTTCTCTCTTTCTCTCTCTGCGCCGTGTGATCAACCCTCACTATAAGCGTCAGAGTTTCTCAGGGCGCAGCCGGCATCGATAGGCATCCAACACCTGCTTGATGTCACCTTCCGATAAGTGGTCCCGATTTCCCACCAGCTTGTTGTTTGATGTAGGAACGGCATCGAAGTAGTACCCGTTGGCAATCGTGCGATTGCTGCTTCTCTGGCGGTAGTAGTGCATGATACTCTCCTCGGAAACAGCGAAAAAGTCTGGGGCACACCAAGGAACTCCGAAAGAAGCGGCCCTTAACAACCCCACATTTAAGGGCATCCCCGAGGCGGCGCATTAATAGCACTATAGCATCATTAAAGCAGTATTTGCCTAAAAGTGTATAGTCTTCGGACCAAGGTCGTAGTCGTAAGTCGCATGGCCAATTTGCGGATCCGCTCCACCATCGTCCGCAGAGCCGATGTAGGTCTTTTCAGAAGGAAGGTACTGAGACACCCAGCGGCTGTCAACGTTCTCCCAATACATCCGCAAGGCGGGGCCCTTTCCATAATACTCCGCTTGTGCGTCTGCCCGCTTCTGCTCGTGGTTTAACCCAAGGCCTTAATGGCAGCTCAAGGGGATGTGTAGTTTCGACACAAGCGTGGCATGCACTCGCAAGTGACCGCAAAGCAGCCCAGCCAAGCGGCAGTGTCCCAGTTCGTGGATCATGCTACCCTTGTGGTTCATGTTCTTACACCATCCCAGATTGATCCTGCCATAGCTGTAAGGCCTGCCTAAGTTGGACCAGCAGCTGCCAGTGTCATAGATGCCAATGAGATAGTAAGGGTTGGAAGCAGCGTCATCCTCAATGACCCCGACACACGTGTGCGTGCGCCAGTCTGCAGCTGCAGCTCTGAAAGCCTGGCGCTTTATGTCGGGCCTAGGGCCAATCCGGGGCCTTAAGACTTAGAATAGGTTTAGGTGGTGCATGAGAGCCTCCTTCCGAACGTCATCAACATCTGTGTCGAACTTGTACCGCACGATAACGTAGTCTTCCCACTGTGGAATCATACCCTCTGGTGCCTGGGTCGTGCGCTCGATCCATGGCCTGCCGGCCTGGCAGCCTGGGTTGTCGTTGCAAGGTCGCTCCCACATCGGATTGCCTGTTCCGCCTTGCACGAGGGCCGATGCCGCCACATCCTCATCGGTGTCACCGTCCAGTGGAATGCCATCCTCTTCTTGTGCTGGTGTGATTCGCCTGCCCGCAACCACTGAGTCAACGTACGCCGTTGCAGCTGCATTCGGCTTCAGCAGCCGTGCTCGGACAGACCCACCACTTTCAAAAGGACCCAGCCATCGATACACCCGCATGGGGCACGTATCCCCAGTCGCGCAATCACTCAGGGCAGCTGGCAACATGAGTCCAGGCCGAGGATTTGCTCCCCAGACTGCCGTGTTTAGTCGAGTTGCCCCACACCGGCATTCGTCATTTTCAACAAGAGCAAACAAGTCCAAGCCTTGGCTGATGCAGAACTCGAAGCACCTGGCGAGATGGGCAAGAAAGAATAAACGTCTTCTTGAGGGCTGAGATATGGGCTGAAAGGTCTGAAGGGAAATGTCGCACAGGGCTTGTCGGACTTGAGTCCGTCCGTGTGTGTATGTATGTGTGTGTGTCACCAAAAGTTGGCACGTGGATATTATATGCTGGACATCATGGAGGCCAGGTGAGCACTAACATGCACTGGCTGGTGCTCACCGGCTTGGCTGCTTGTCTAAATTCACTGTGCTGTTGGCTGGGGTAGGCCTGAGAGCACACATGGGCGAAAGCTAGCACACTGCCGACAACACACAGACGCGGGATGAATTGCAAATGCTAGCCCGCGGATGGAGGAGGACCGGCATAGGACATCCCGGGCACCACAGTTCACATAAGCCACAGGCGCGAGAAGAAGGGAGACAGAGAGAGAGAGAGAG